CCGGGCGGGGCGGGGCGGCGCGCCGCAGAGCCCCATTGTGCGCGCAGGATGCTCCCGTTGGACACGGCGCCCCGGGGCGGGAACAAGGCGTCTCTCAGCCCCCTCAGCAGCCGGGCCGGGGCTCCCTCAGCGCATGAGGCTTGAGGAGGAAACACTATGACGCCCGCGGAGCAGGGGGTGCCCAGCCCTTCAATAGAGGCATTATTCACTCCCGCAGCTGCCAGCCCTGCTGGGCCCTGAGGCAGGAGGCCAAAGACAGCAGCACATGTTTTTAATATATATCTTTTTTTACATCTTTATCCAAGCCAAATCCGTATCCAGTTCAGGTAGGCACGGCCCCAACAGTCGACTGAGCTCTCTCAAGTTAGGGTTGCCGACTCTGAGTCTCTTCCAGGAGGTTTCCGGAGCGCCGATGTGCCCATGTGCTTGAGTATGTCGGGTACAGATCGCAGAGCGTAGGCTTCACATCAAGACGGCAAAGGCACGTTGCTGTTACAATCCAGAAAGCCCACTGGACTACTGTATAAATCGGACTTAACACTTCCTATATATGGTAATGGATGCCCTATCATTTATCTCCTGGGTGACTCTCAGCAGCCTCCTGGAGGTGTAGATCTAATTCCTGGAGACTCCAGGGCAATCCTGGAGGTTGGCAACCCTAGCTCAAGTCTGCGTGGCTCTGCCACCAGGCGAGTACAGGTTTCCCTTGCAAATGGCAGGGGTTAGCTTCCTGAAAGTTCCCGTGGTTGGCTTATGGGAAAAATGGGGTTAGGGATTTCAACATGAATAATAAAGGAACATGCCGTGTATAAAAATCAGTTTTATATTCGGCACACTCTCTCCATGTACTAGATGATTTAACAACTCCAATTTTTGTTTCCAAGGCCATCACTTTTCCTTGCCCTCTTCACAAATTGCTCACCTTCACCACTCACTCGCTTTGAGGCCATGACTAAGGGCAAAATGCAAAAATCACAAAGAAATCAGAAGAAAAATGCAGAGCACCTGCAACTGGATGTTAACGGCGTGAAGCACAACACAAGACTGAGTGTGCATGAGGATATGGGAGCACCACGGATGGCTAGCAAGAGCCACAGTAAACCATCATACCGTGGTAGCCAAAATGGTATATAGAATATTAAGCGTGGATACTCAAAACCGTGATTGGCAAACACCATGGTTGGCAAGGGAAACCTGTATCCTTCCCACACCCATCCATCTGCATGCTCCCCAAGGTAGGCAGGCATCTTACCTGCAAGCCTCAGGCCTGGAGGCCTTGGGGATCAGGTGCCTGCTGCCTCGCTTGATCTGAAGCCAGCAGCAGATTGTTTTGAGCACTGCGGGCACGTCTACATATTCATTAATGTGCCTTAGTTACTGCACATTTAGTTTAGTGCTTCTTTAATGAAGTACTAACTAAATACACAGTAACTAGAGTTACTGCACAGTAGTGCCGGTGCACGGTTATTTTGTGATGCTTACTGTGCATTAGCTTAATTACACTGCACAATAGGCTATTAGTATAATTTTCAACTGATACCCTACTGCGTAGTGTTTTATTAGGCTAATGTGCAGTAAGTGTGTGTATTCACACCTTTAGGGGTGCACTTCAGCTGGATACTCCTCTCTGCTACACAGGTCACCTCCCTGACCTATTGTACCTCACCTTTATCCACTTCACCTAGGTTTTGCCAGCTGTTATCAAAGGGGATCTTTCCAGCTAAAAGAATCACACCCTTGTCTGCTCATATGCTCAAAAATGATAGATTTCCCGCTTCCTTGGAAGAGGCCCTTCTGTTTCCTCAAATGCTCTGACATAACACTTACCACTGGCAATAATAAGTTATAAAAGAAAACAAAGGACTGATTATTAAAACAAGGGCAAATGTAAGAAATCAGTCGCCTGATGTTGAGGTACAGACAGAAATATAAACAAACAAACAAAGGAAAATACCAGAGAAATTATTTTACCTTATCCCTGTATCTTAGCCCTAAGCTCTAAAAATACAGTTTCCACCTCTCAGCTCAATAGGCTAGAAAGCAGCTGCTGCCCGTGATCTTCCTATCAGGGTTTCCTGCAACTTCTCCAGAACACTTAGCCTGCTAGTTGAGGAACCGAAGCACCTTATGCCCAGGAAACTTTAGATAAGCGCTTACTCCTATGGCAAGGCTTATGTATGATTTCTTATGTGACTATTTACAGACATTATCCATTGGATGCTCAGGGAACCCATACAATGCAATAGAACTTGCCTTCCAAGGGTGTGCCTGCTTATCAGACCAGGAGTCTTTTCTGATCTAATTATGACTAGGGGAATATTTACATCCTTTCAGATATATCCTAAGGGTACCATCTCTCACTTAATTTCCCCACTGTGAGAAATACACTTTGTGAGTAGCCTGTTTCTAAGTGTTATTCTTGCCACAGGCCTCTCCTTTTAAAATGTAAATTCACCATTGCCTGGTTTATGTGCCCCAGACCATGTCTGCAATTTGACTAGCTACTAAACATACCCATGTCCAACATGTAAACAGTTATGTGACCACTGATTATTGAGGGCAGGACTTTGTAACAAACAATAGGAAATTGCTCATTACAGCTGGGCTGCACTGGGGCTGGGCTCAGCTGGGACAGTGACAGCAGCAGTAGCAATGTGGGGTGGGGGGAGGGGATCACAGCTCTGCCCCAGCTAAGGACCATGCTGTCACTTCTGCAAGATCCCAGCCCTGGCCCCAGAGCAGCTCCCTGCCCAGCTATGCACCCTGCCAGTGCTGCTGGGGCTGGCTGGTATCCATAGAAACCTTGGCTCTGTGCTGTCCAGCACCACCACTACTGGGATCTCCATGGAAACTGGCCGCAACAGTGCAGGCAGGGGCTGCTGGGAAATAGAGTCTGTCATGGGCCCAATCTGGCCCACAGGCTGGAATTTGCTCGTTCCTGTTCTAACTGTCATGTACAGCTGACAATAATTGTTAGCTAATGAAGTCAACAGATGGCAAGCTTTAGAATCTCATATCTAATATGTTACTGTTATTTCTGACCTGCATAACTTGATGGCATATGCAGAGCCATTAGTGACAAAATAAATGTAACAAGTGTGCCATCTGCTACTTACATGATCAGGAGCAAGGGGATCACAATATTCTGATGTTCGCATGTCTGCAAGTGAAGTCAGTCAAATAAGTAGGGAATGGGAAAATCATTGGCAAAGATCCTTTGTAATCCCATACATGATCCACTGTTTTGGTGAGAAAATACTTAAGTCTCTTACTGTTCAGAAAATACTAAAACTATAAAAAATAAAGCATTCATTTCAGCAAGCACTCCATTTCAGGAGGCACTACTTCACAGTCAGGGCGGCTAGGATCTGGAACCAACTTCCAAGGGAAGTGGTGCTCACTCCTACCTTGGGGGTCTTCAAAAGGAGGCTAGATAATCACCTGGTTGGGGTCATTTGACCCCAGCATTCATTCCTGCCCGTGGCAGGGGGTTGGACTTGATGATCTGCTCAGGTCCCTTCCGACCTTATCAACTATCACCCTATCAACTATCAAGCACATGGAATTAGTTTTCTGATATGAATAGCACAAGACTACAAAAGTATGCAAATGTTGGTATCAGGGGCTTGATTAGTTGCAATTTCAGGGGTTTCTAGACCATGAGAGAATGAGTGCAGTCATTTTGATGAAGCATTGGATCATGTGCTACCTTACAAAGGACCATTGCTAATCATCCTATTTACAGCTATGCAGCCTGGGAATTGCATGTGACTGTTCACATATGTATAGTCTCTCACATATATAAACTTGCCTAAACTGTATTACATCATTTCTAGTACACTCAGTTCCACTCTTAGGTTTTCAGATTCTTAATTGTTAGATGTAATACAGGGATAAGGCCAAACCCAAGAAAATGTTGTTGAAATTAAAAGTTACATTTAATTCAGATTTACATTTCATAGACTCATATAATCATAGAAAAGTAGGGCTGGAAGGGACCTCCAGAGGTAATCTAATCCAACCTGGATCATCCCTATCTAATCAACCCTATACAAATCCATTGTCTAACCAACTATCAAAGACAGTTCTAGTAACAAGTTTTTTTTTTGTTTTTTTTTAATAAAATGTAATTTTATGGCTAGTTCACCTGAGAGGGTTCTTTAGTACACAAAAATCAGCTATGGTTAAGTAAATGGCACCACCGTCCCACCCAAATGGAGCAAATAATAATTTGATCAATAACATATTTAGTGAGCTTAGCCTTCTCATCTGAATGAATGTCTTTGTTTCATTTACCTTTAAGGAGTAAAACTTAAGTGGCTTAATGTGTAGATTCATAGATTCATAGACTGTTAGGGGCTGGAACGGACCTTGCAGATCATAGGGTCCAGTCCCTCTGCAGTAGGCAGGAAAAGACAACTGGGATCAAGTGACCCCAGCAAGGTGACTGTCCAGTCTCTTTTTGAAGATTTCCAGGGTCGGTGACTGCACCAGCACTGGAGGGAGTTTATTTCACAGTTTGGACACCCTGACTGTGAAGGAGTTTTTCCTGGAATTGAGCCTGAAGCAGTCTTCCAGGAGTTTGTATCTATTGTTCCTGGTCTTCCCCAGAGGTGCCTTTGGTGAACAGCTGTTCACCAAGTTCTTGATGTACTCCCTTGATGTAGCAGTAAGCCGCTACCAAGTCCCCTCTCAGCCTTCTCATCTGTAGGCTGAAGAGGCCCAAGTCCCTCAGCCTCTCCTCGTATGGCTTGTCTTGCAAGTCCCTGATCATACAGGTGGTTCTTCTCTGGACCCTCTCAAGTTTTTCCATGTCCTTGCTGAAGTGCAGTGCCCAGAACTGGAAGCAGTATTCCAGCTGCAGTCTCACCAATGCAGCATACAGTGGGAGTATCACTCCCTTAGTTTTGCATGAGATGCAATGGTTAATGCATGCCAGTGTGTTGTTTGCCCTGCTGGCCACAGCATCACACTGCCAGCTCATGTTCATACGATGGTTGATCACTACCCCTAGGTCCCTTTCAGCCGTGGTACAAGTCGAATTGTTGCCACTAAGTCTGTTGGTATGTTGGGGATTGTTTGCCCCCAGATGGAGCACCTTACACTTCTGAGTGTTGAACTTCATCTGGTTCTGGTTCGCCCAGCTCTCCAGCCTGTCCAGGTCTGCCTGTATCTGCAACCTATCTTCTGGCATGGCCACGCTCCCCCATAAATTGGTGTTGTCCGCAAACTTGGCCAGCAAGCTTTTCACCCCCACATCCAAATCATTGATAAAGGTGTTAAAAAGCACCAGTCCAAGCACTGACCCCAGAGAGACACCACTGGCCACTTCTTGCCAGGATGACAGAGATCCACTGAACTGTTGAGCAGTTAAGCCAACAATCTTCCAATTTTTTCACAAGGATATCGTGGGATACCAGATCAAGAGCCTTTTGGAAGTCTAGGTATATAATCTTGACCTTCTCTCCCATGTCCAGGTGGCGAGAGACCTGTTCGTAGAAGGAGATGAGATTGTTAAGATAAGACCTGCCCGCGACAAAGCCATGCTGGCTGTCATTCAGAACCTTACCCTAAACGAGCATATTGCACATAGATTCTTTAATGAGTTTTTCCAGGATTTTCACTGGGATGGAGGTTAGGCTGCTTAGCCTATAGTTGCCCGGGTCCTCCCTCATCCCCTTCTTGAAGATGGGCACAATGTTGGCCCTCTTCCAATCCTCAGGCATTTCCCCTGTGTGCCACGATTTCTGAAAGAGTTTTGCCAGGGGTTCTGCAATGACCTCAGCCAGCTCCATCAGCACTCTCAGGTGAAGTCCATCTGGTCCTGCTGACTTATAAATATCTAGCTTTTCTAGTTGGTTTTGCACCAGCTCAGCATCCACAGTGGGAAGGCTATCATTCCCACCATGCCCCCTGTGATCCTTGTCTCGCTTGTCTTTCCCCTTGATCTGC